TACGGCACATATACGAAACATATGTGCAACCTATACGGCACATATACGGCACACATACGAAACATTTGCGGCGCATGTACGAAGCATGTGCGAATCATATATACGACTCATATGCGGAACACTTACGAGACCGATGCGAAACATATACGGAACCAATGCGGAACCTATGCGAAACATATACGAAACATATACGAAACATATGCGAAACATATACGAAGCGTATTCGCAGCATATGCGAAACGTATACGAAACATATGCGAACCATATACACCACATGCGAAACATATACGAAACGCTTACCACACGTATGCGAAGCATATGCGGCACGTTGGCGAAGCATATACGGAACGCATGCGAAACGCATGCGCAGCATGTACGAAACACATATTCGAAACATGTACGATACATATACGGAGCATATACGAAGCATATACGAAACTTGCACGACTCATAAACGAAACATGCACGAACCATCGACGAAACATACACGAACCATATACAAACCACACGCGAAACATATGCGGGTCATATGCGGATTATACACGAAACATATACAAAGCCTATGCGAAACCTTTGCGACATATATACGAAACATATACGAACCATTTACGAAATATATACGAAGCGTACACGCAGCAAATACGAAACGCATACGAAACATATGCGACACTATTCGGAACATATGCGAAACATATCGCAACCATATGCGAAACAATTACGACACAATTTACGACACATATACGAAACATATACGAAACACATGCGAAGCATATCGGGAACATACGCGAAACGTATGCGGAACATATGCGCAACATTTACGAAACATGCACGAACCATGTACGGAACATACGCGAAACATACATATACGAAACGCATGCGAAACATATACGAAACATATGCGAAACATTTACGACGCACGTGCGAAACATATTCGGAACTTATACGATACATGAGCGAAGCATTTCCGAAACACATGCGAAACACATGCGATACATATACGACGCATATACGGAACGTCTACGAAACGTATACGAAACGCATGCGGAACGCACGCGAAACAGATGCGAAACACCTGCGAAACATTTACGAACCATCTACGGCACATTGGCGAAACATATGCGAAACATATGCGTGCCACGTACGAGACATGTGCGAAGCATTTGCGAAACAGATGCGGGGCATGTACGGGGCATCTACGAAACATGTGCGAAACATATACGGGGCCTCCCTACGAAACATCCACGAACCATCTACGAAACATCCACGGAACATTTGCGAAACATTTACGAAACATATACGAATCTTATGCGAACGCACGTGCGCGCCACTTGCGAAACGCATGCGAAACAGATACGAAACACACCCGACGCATATGCGAGCCATGCGCGAAATATACACGAACCATGCGAAACATATACGAAACGTATACGAAACGTTTGCGAAACATTTACGAACCACACGCGAAACCTATGCGGAACATATACGAGGCATATACGAAACATCGGCAAAACAATTTGCGACACCTAAGAGAAATTATACGAAACACGTGCGACGCATACACGAAACATATGAAGCGCATACGCAGCATATACGAAACGTGCACGAAACATATACGAAACATATACGAAATATATACGAAACGCTTACAACACGTATGCGAAACAAATGCGACACATATGCGAAACACATGCGCACCACATACGAAGCATATACGAAACATATGCGAAACATATGCGACACACACGCATATATATATATATATATATATATATATACATGAAACCTTCACGAACCATGCGGCACATATACGATACATATACGAAGCAGACTCGAGACATGCCAAACATATGCGAAACATCTACGGAACATTTACGGAACCCTATACGAAACATATACGGCACATATACGAAGCATATGCGAAGCATATACGAAACATATACAAAACCCATGCGTAACATACACGGCAGACATACGAAACACGTACGAAACATACGCAACACATATACGACACATCGACGCAACATCTACGAAACATCTGCGAAACATCTACGAAACATCTACGGCACGCAAACGACACATATACGAAACATATACGAAACATATGCGAAACATTCACGGAACGTGTGCGAAGCATGTACGAAACATATACGAAACATACACGAATCGTATAGGAAACCTCTACGAAACGCGCACGGCGCGTCCGCGGTACAGAATCCTCACCACACTCCTTACATTCCTTACGCCAGATTAATTGGGCTGGCAGACGGAGGTCAGCCCTAGTAGTAGTGATAGTAGTAGTAATAGTAGTAGTAGTAGTAGTAGTAGTAGTAGTAGTAGTAGTAGAAGAAGTAGTCGTAGTAGTAGTAGTAGTAGTAGTAGTGGAAGTAGTGGTCGTAGTAGTAGTAGTGGTAGTAGTAGTGGTAGTAGTAGTAGTAGTAGTAGGAGTAGTTCTAGCCGTTCTCGTAATCGTAGTAGTAGTAGTAGTAGTAGTAGTAGTAGT